TCCCAACTCATTTCATAAGGCCAGCATAACTTGTCATAACCTAACAATGATATTACAAGAAAAAAAAAATTACAGACTACTCTCACATACACATACTTGCAAAAATCAAAAATGGAATATGAGCAAATCAAATCAAATGATATATATAAAAAGGTTAACAAATCACAAGGTGTATTTCAAGAACGGTGCTTTAACATTTCAAAATCAATCAACATAGGATACTACATTAAAGAAAAAAGGGGAGAAAAATACCATAGAATCATCTACATAAACTCAGAAAAAGCATTTGATAAAACTCAATACTGAGTCGGGATAAGAAATAATGGCATTAGAAATAGCAGAAAACTTTTCTATTCTGATAAAGAGGATCTTTTTAAAAAAATTCTCGGTAGGGGTACCTGGGTGGCTCAGTCACTAAGCGTCTGCCTTCGGCTCGGCTCATGATCACGGGTCATGATTCCAGGTCCTGAAATCGAGCCCCATTCCAGCTCCCTGCTCAGCGGGAAGCCTGCTTCTCCCTATCCCACTCCCTCTGCTTGTGCTCCCTCTCTCACTATGTCTCTCTCTGTCAAATAAACAAATAAAATTAAAAAAAAAAAACCTCTCAGTAAATATAATTAATGATCAAATATCAAATGTTTTTTCCTAAAGTTGAGAATGAGACAAAGGATGACCTCTACCTCCACTTATATTCAACATTACACTGGAGGTCCTAGCTAATACAATGAAACAAGATAATATAAGTTAAAGGATTTCAAAAAGAAAAGTCACTGTTCACAGACAACATGACAGTTTACGTAGGAAATCCAAAATAATGCACATATAAACTATTAGAAATAAGTGAATTTTGAAAGTGAATTTTGCAAGATTGCTAGACACAAAGTCAACATTAAAAAAGTAAACTATACTTTTATATACTTAGCAACAACCATACAGAAAATAAAATCTGGGAAAAAAACATAGTAACACTAAAAAAAATTCAATACCGAAAAATAAAATAAGAAATGTGTAAGATCTGTACATTGAAAACCATCAAACATTATGGAAAGAATTAATGAAAACCAAGTGTAAGATAATCATATTTATTAATTACAAGACTTAATATTGTAAAGATTTCAGTTCTCCCTAAATCAATCCATACATCTAATGGGAAAAAACAAAAACAAAAACAAAAAAACCCCTAAATTCCAGTAAGTTTTTTTTTTGTTTTCTTGGTGAATATTGACACAGAAAAGAAAAACGGCAAGAACAACTACTCAGTCATGCAGAATATCATGGTAGAGAATCTCTACTACCTAATATTAAACTATAGTAAATAAAATAGTGCAGAACCGAGCAAAGATAGAAAATACACAAATGGAACAAAACAGAGTTCAGAAACAGCCCCACATGTGTATGATTACTTGATTCACAGCAAAGGCAACCCTTGTCAAGCAATGGAGGAAAGATGGTTCTTAAAACAAATTGTACTGGGTGAACTGAATATTTATCAGGAAAACAAATCTTGACCCCAAAACCTCAAACCATACACAAAAGTAAATTCCAAATGGGTAACAGATCTAAAACATGAAAGGTAAAAAACAGAAGAAAGCATAAAAATAATCTTCATGGATTTATGATAGGTAAATATCTCTTCAACACAACACAAAGAGCATGAGCCATAAAGGAAAAAAAAAAGAAGGTAAACTGGACAACATTAAAAAAAAAAAAAAAGGTTGAAAAAGTGAAAAGGCAAGCCATGATATGAGAGAAGTTATTTGTAATGTACATAATGAACAAAATACTCACAATTTATTATATATAGAATATATACTAATAATTAAAAGAAAAAGGCAGTGAGGCAGCCCACTAGGAAAAAATAAACCGAAAAAGAAGTAAACAGGTAAGTCATAAAAGAAGGTATCTAAATGGCCAATAAAAATATGAAAAGGTAATCAACTTCATCAAACATCACAGAAACTTAAAATTAAAATGTTACTTTTGCTCACCCACCAGAACAGCTAAAATGAAAGGGATAAAAACTAGCATCAGTGAGTATTTAGAGCAGCTGGAACTTTTACGCACTGTTAGCAGAGTGTAAATTATAAATTAGTACAACCACTTTAGAAAACTCTATTGCTATTAAAACTGATCACAGATATACTCTTTGACTTAGCAACTGTACACTTCGGTATATACCCAAGTGTTCATATGTACCAAACACACATACAAGAGTATTCAAAACAGCACTCTTTATAATAGTCTCAAAGTAGAAAACAATCCAAAAGTCTGTGTACAATAGAAATAATAAGTATATGCATTGTGTTCTATCCACACAGTGGAATATTATACATCAATGAACATGTAGAAAATCCATCTACATATATACCCACATGCAACAGTAACATTAATTTCACAAACATAATGTTGCCCAAAGGAACACATGCTGTTCACATAAATTCAACAACAGGGGTAATTAATCTATGTGTTAGAAGTTCAGTTAATGACCTTCCTTCCCTGGGGCAGGGAGATAATACCTGGGAGATAGGACAGAGAGTTTCCCGGGTGGTGCACTGGGATATGCTGGCTACATGGCCATGTACTTTTTGCAATAACTCACTTGGCCACACTTAGGATTTGTGCACTTTTCTTTATGTTATACTTTAATACAAAATTTCCTTTTTAAATAGAAATGCATAACGCCAAACACAAACACAAGGTTTCACCAGAAACTCCTAAATGGAAGTCAAGTGAAAGCTTCCAAGTAGAAGTGAAATGAGGTGAAGCAACTCTTAAGTGCATGACAGTGTCACCCCCAAGATTTTTCATTCACTGTACTAATGACTTGAAGTGTGATTTTATCTTAGTAGTTCAAAAAATCCAATCATTAAAAACTCTATTTGCTATTACCTCCTTCAGTATTGCTCCCTAAACTACCCCAACCAGAGGTTTATAGTTCCTTCCATAAACTCTCCCATCACCTAAGCTTACCCTCTATCTGCCATATAGTTAAATCTCTTCTGTAGGCTATATTATTTTTAATGAGTTTCCAGTGCTTAACACAGTCTCTCTCTGATATAGTAAATATTCAAATTTGGATGAATAAATGACATAAATTCTCTTCTGCACAGAAACCTTTTTTTCCCATTTTAATGCAAGAATAATGAAATTTTAACTAAGAATCCACAAATCCAAAATGACAAATTAAGTCTGTGCCTAATCAAACCTGAAAAATAAATTGCCCAACTACCTCTTCTGTATCTTTTCTGCATTCTTTGCCAAAATCATCTGAGAAGAAATTTAGACACCCTTGCCCCATCTGGCAGCTTGGTAAGAAGATGACTTAGGTAAATTCAACTTATTAACAGGCTAATTCCACTTGCTGAGTTATAGTGGTAGGCTCCATCTTTTAATAAGATCATTTCCTTAACTTAAAAAGTTCCATTACACAGTCACTTACATATTCCTAGCTCCTTTTTCTCTCTAAACATGTGGGGCCTTTTCCACTGGTAGATCCAGTGTATCTATGCTGAATTTAAACATGACTCTCTATGGGATAATTAGAGTTCAGGGAATGTTATGTGCTTTCCCAGTTCTCTGCTTTTATGTTATTCCCTTAATAAGCCCTATTTTACATTTATATCACATGTGTTCATGAAGCAGGTCCCCCATGCCTCCTCTACCTGTCACAGTCCTCAGATTTATAAAGGGACATTTACTTGCAACCTTGCTTAGAATCATTCCTTTGGAATGATGGAATGGTTATTTTATCACTCTCCCCTATTTTATCAACCTTCATAAAGAATCACACTGTGTGAGCCTTATACTTTAGCTAAAGAATTTTCATGAGATGAAACAAGAGCTCTCTTCATTTAGGTCCACTGACAACTCTAATCACTTCCACTAACTTCTCTACCAGCTACTCAGCTGAGTTTTGTCTCCGATTATATCCACATTACCAGGTGAATTACTACTCAGACTCTGGAGAATATATCTTTAGTACTCTCCTGTTCCTGGTAAGCTTCCAGAAACCAGCTTTTCTGGAAATTTCTCCTGAGAGGCAAACTTTCCAGAGAAAGCATCTCCCCTTCCTGCATATGCTGTGACTACTAGTTTATTTACGATATTCTATGAAACTATTTTTCCTTCTTTCCTTTAAACCAAGGGCTTGGCAAACTTTCCCTTAAAGGGCCAGAGTAAAGATTTTAGGCTTATGGGCCATACAGTGTCTAGGCATATGGGCCATACAAAGTAAAGATTTTAGGCTTATGGGCCTACTCAATTATGCTGTTATAATGTGAAATCAGCCACAGACAATATGTAAACAAATGCACACGGCAGTGTTCTAACAATGATTTATTTATAAAAACAGCCAGCCTGCCCATGGACCAAAGTTTGCCAATCCCTGCTCTAAACTCTTACAACTTCTGGTCTTCATATATCAGTATTATAATTATCTTGAATTTGTAAGGGTTTACAGCATTGGTGCTGAAAATTAAATTCAATATATTTTATCAATTAAAACTGAGATCAATATATAAATGTTCTAGGAATATTTGCGATAATATGAGTTATAAAAAAAATTCTCATTATTTGTTGGTTAACCAAAAAAATTTAAGTGACTAAAACACATTTACTGATAACTGTAGTTAACTTAGGTATTACCTAATTATGAAAATAGAGCTGATAATTTACAGTAATAATATATTAAACACTAATGAACAAATGAACAGAAGACTAAGTATACTATGATAAATCTACACAATGGACAGTAGTGGTGGGACTACAGTGATCTTTTCTTCTTTTCCCCTATGTTTTCTATAATTAACATCTATGATTTCTGTAATAAAAAAAGTTTCTTTAAAGCACACGATGACAAGCTAAAAGTGTTAAAATTGTTTATTTAGTTTGAGAATAAAAATATTTAGACTTGAAATTAAAGAAAAATTCATTCTATCCTATGCTTCTCTTTAAAAAAATATATTTACATCAAAAATAAATAAGTTAAAATTTTCATTTACCTGTCGGTTCCTTTCATCCATTATGCGTGTGATTTGAATTTTCTTCCGCCCCATTTTCAGTCACCTTTCCTTCCTTATATTCCAAATATTTAATTCAAAATTAATTTTCTTCAATACCCTAATGCATCGTACACAGCTTCTATTATTTCAGCTTCTAGTCCAAGGGCTACAGCTGAAATTTTCTATAAGATCTAAAAGAAAACAAAAATTAGAAAATTTAAGTTCTATAAGTTTGCAAATCATGAAAATGTTATACAAATTTCAAACCTGCTTCTATGCTGCACATAGGCAGCCTTATTAGCTGAAATTCCTGGTTATATAAAATTGGTAGTTAAGTTGAAGCTTTGTTAACTTTACCCCTAAAATATCTCTTGAATCTTTTTGTGCCTCTAGTTCTGGCTGAAAGAGTGCAATTATAACCTTTGAGTTTTTCTCAATGCATATAATAATAGCAACAACAAGAGCCAATGCTTATTGGGATTTTTGTATGTGCCAAACACTTTTCTACATACCTGATATATCTTAACTCATTCAATCCAAACTGCAATCATTTTGGGTATAATTATCATCTCCATTTTATAAATAAGGACACTGAGGCAGAGAGATCCTAACTCTGTCCAAGGTAACACACACAGTAAAGGGCAGAGCCTGGAATATGAACTCAGGGACTCTGGTTCCAGAATTTCTCCTCTTTAATGTTATAGAATATCCTTGAAAGCTTCTGATGCCCTTCATGTCAAAGGATGAACTAATAATCTAGGTAGCCCCAATCTGCCTTTACAAACTATTCTTGCAAACTGCCCTAGCCACCACCAAAATTACTGTCAATCCACAAAGGCACCATATGATTTCATAATAACGTCCACTTAAATGAAATACTGTTCCTTTTAGCCATTTAATAAAATCCTCCTTATCAATCAAGATTCAGTTCCCCCTGATAGAGTAAACCATAGCACCTTACACTTTGTGGCTATGTGTATAATAAATTCTAAGTCCATTTTCCTCTGAGACTGTGAGTCCTTCAAGAACAGGATATTTTTATTCCATTTATCTCTGTAATTCAATGACTGGCAATGATATAATTTGTCATGTTCTGAATAACAGTTGTGTGAAAGACCCAGTGTTTTTAAAACCTACATAATAAAGTATTTACAAGGGAATGGAAGACAAATACTAAAACACTCACAATAATAAATTCTCAGGGGAATTTTACTCAAGTATTTTTAATATTGTGCATATATAGCCATAAAACTTTAAAAGTACTGTGCAGAGGCGCCTGGGTGGCTCAGTCATTAAGCGTCTGCCTTTGGCTCAGGTCATGATCCCACGTCCTGGGATCGAGCCCCGCATCGGGCTCCCTGCTCAGTGGGAAGCCTGCTTCTCCCGCTCCCACTCCCCCTCCTTGTGTTCCCTCTCTCACTGTCTCTCTCTCTCGCCAAATAAATAAAATCTTTAAAAAAGTAAATATAAAAAAATAAAAAATAAAAGTACTGTGCAAATCCATGTTTGATTAAATCTGACTTTTGCTCAAAAGCAGTGAGTTTTTAAATTCTTATCACTACCATCATTACTATAAGCATGGCATTTCTTACATATCTTCCCTTGTATTCTTTTATTTCTTCATTCATACAAACATTAACTGAACATCTATTAACAACTGATAACCTATTAATTGATCACCTACTTGCAAAAATGTACTTCCAAACACTGAACTAAGCACACAGGGTAAAGTGTTAAAAAAAAAAAAAAAAAAAGGCATGATTTTTAATCTCACAAGAGTTCATAGTTTAGTAGGGGAAAACAGACTTTAATCAAACTATCATATAAATGAGTCTGTACAAATTAAAATTAGGAAGTTCATGTATCTGACCTAAATTCGTATGTTAGGGAAGGCTTCCTTAGGAATGTGCCTCATACCCAAACCTGAGTATGAGGGTGTACATGCTAGGAGAGAATAGCATGTGCATGGAAGCAGGAAACATTAGAAAAACTGAAGGGCTAGTCAACTGGTGGGAACCAATCAAACAAACAGCTGTGCTGTAGAATGTTTTTGTTTTCTCACGAGACTGCAATATAAACCACTAGAAGTCAGCTTATTCAAATCATGTTCCCTAATAGATCACATTGCAATCAATTCACATTATAAAACTTGCACTGTAGTAGGCAAGATAAATAGTCATACCTTTCAACACTAATGCCTATAAGGTATATGTACTATATTCTCTTTTATAATCTGAAAAATTCTGAATGTTAGATCATATCTGAGCATTTTCCTTTTGATCAACCTTCTCTTTCTCTTTTTTTTAAGATTTATTTATTTATTTTAGAGAGAGGGTGAGAGAGCACAAGCGAGCACAAGTGGGGGTAGGGACAGAGGGAGAGAATCTTCAAGCAGACTCCAAATTGAGCACGGAGCCTGACAGAGCGCACAATCCCACAACAAATGAGATCACAACCTGAGCCAAAAACAAGAGTCAAATGCTTAACTGACTGAGTCACCCAGGAGCCCCAAACCAACCTTCTTCTAATAATGACAAAACAACAAGAAAAGTAATCTGTTCAAAACCACTGGAGAACTTTCAACACAGAATTGAAGGCCTGAGATCTGGAAGAAAGAAGTGAGACCACACTTCAGACTAACTTTCCCTCTAGTTATTAGTAGATTCTTAAAATATTGGCTGAGCCCCACGTCAGGTTCCCTGCTCAGCGGGGAGTCTACTTCTCCCTCTTCCTCTCCATCTGCCCCTCTACCTACTCGTGCTTTCTCTCTCACTCTCTGTCTCTCAAATAAATAAGATTTTAAAATATATATATTAAAAAAAAAAAAAACCCAAAAAGCATTGGCTGAAAGGCTGAGAAACTAAACAGAGCTTTCAAGAGATCTATGGATGGGACACAAGAATTGATTCAGGGCCTGCCAAAGAATACCCCCAGTAAACACACCAGGAATCTGGAGGGAATCCAAAGGACTATACCCTAAGTATAAAGGTAAACTAGAAATAGACCAGGCCAATAAGGAGGAAAGTGTAGCTTCAGATCATCTCAATCCCTGATTAGGTTAAGGTAATCTGGGCTACCTAGTGTCATTAGCCTAGCTGCATGCCAGTAAAAACTTCTGAAAAGATTTTAGCAAAAGTAAATCTTACCAGCAAAAGATAACATCATCTAGAAATTCAAATGATCTTATCATTTTTTATACAAAATGCCTAAAAATAAAAAATAACCAGTCAAGACCTGACTGAAAACTAAGATTTTAAAATGGCAAAACAATCAGACCCATAGTAGGTCCAGGTAATGGTGTTATCAGAAAAGAACTTTAAAATAAGTTAATGTGCTTAAAGAATTAATAAACAAAGACTTAGCAGACAATGTTAAAAGTATGGAAAACAAAGAATTGAAAAATACAATTTTGAAAACAGAAAATAAAAAATTGACAATGAGTTTAATAGGTTAGATTACAGCTAAAGAATCAATGATCCAGGGGCGCCTGGGTGGCTCAGCCGGTTAAGCGTCTGCCTTCGGCTCAGGTCATGATCCCAGGGTCCTGGGATCGAGCCCCACATCGGGCTCCCTGCTCCACAGGAAGCCTGCTTCTCCCTCTCCCACTACCCCTGCTCGTGTTCCCTCTCTCGCTGTGTCTCTCTCTGTCAAATAAATAAATAAAATCTTAAAAAAAAAAAAAAAAAAGAATCAATGATCCAGAAGATAGGAAAGAGGAAAATACACTGACACCCAAAAAGACACAAATTGGGAAATACAGAAGAGTGTGAAAATATTACGACACATGGATCCAAAATACATGTAACTGGAGTCCCCAAAAGGAAAGAGAAATATTTAAAGACATATAGTTAAAAACTTTTTAAAAACTTACCGGGGGAGGTGAAAAGAGAAAAAAAACCACATCAAGCCACAGACCCAAGATCTACAAACTCCCAAGCAAAACAAATAACAAAGAAAACCACAACCTAAAGCATATCAAAGTAAAGAGGGTGGATGGAGGGAAAGAGAGAGAGAGAGAGAGAGAGACAAAGAGACAGAGACAGCCACAGAGAGATCTTAAAAGTAGCCAAAAAAAGAAAGATTGACTTTAAAAATAGTAAGATTTATAGGTGACTTTTTCACATAAATAATGGAAGTCAGAAGACAATGAAATGACATCCTCAAAGTGCCAAGAATGGGAGAAATGCCAAACTAGAATTCTATATCTGGCAAATAATACTCTTCAGGGGAAAAAAAAAAAAAAAGGCAAAATACAGACATTTGTAGTCAAATAGAAACAAAGAATTTAACAACAAAAACACTGAGGGAATTTTCCAAGTAGAAAGAAAAAAGGATCCCAGACACAGCTTAGATATTGCACCAAAAAGTAAGCAAGCAAATAAATAAATAAATAAGAATAAGGAACAGGGTAAATATGTAACTCGAAGTGAATACTGACTAAATATAATAACAATACGTTGCAGAGTTTAAAATATTACAATGCACAACAACAGTACAATACAGTAGTAAATGAAGTTAAAGTGTTCTAAAACCCTTTCATTTAATGGGAAATAGAAAAGGTACATTTTTACTTTTTGGACTTCAATTCAAAGATGCATGTAAGAATAGTAAAAGTGCATAGAGCTAACAAGCTAATGGAGGGGGAAAAATGAATTAATAACCCAAACTGTATTTAAAAAAACCAATTTGATGATTACAGAAGTACATCTTAAATGTGAGTATATAGAAAGAATGAAAGTAAAAGCATGGAGAACAATATACTGTGCAGAACACAAATCAAAACAAAGTTGTGTAGCTATACTTTATTACAGTATATTTTAATGCATGAAATAAATACATGAATAGAGATACAGCAGGACACTTCATTACAGTTAAAAATTCAATTCACCAGAAGGAACTAACAATTCTAAATCTGAATATGCCTAATAACACTTAAAGTCAGGAATCTGTTCCTTAAAATCAGATATTCTGTACAAAATCCTTACTAGGACATTATTTTCCATTATTTTTTTATTTTTTTATTTTATTTTTTTTTTAGATTTTATTTATTTATTTGACAGAGAGAGAGAGAGAGAACAGGTAGGCAGAGAGGCAGGCAGAGGGAGAGGGAGAGGCAGGCTCCCCGCCGAGCAGGGAGCCCGATGTGGGGCTCGATCCCGGGGACCCTGGGATCATGACCTGAGCCGAAGGC